GGACAGGCGTCAAATGATCTAGCCCTTCAAAAGGTTGATTGAGTATGTCCTGACCTGCCTGGCTGATCCAAAGGATGAAGTATATGGAACGCTGCTGGAGCAAAGGAACACGTGAAAGTTTGTAGGAGAGTAGAGCCCAAGAAAGCTCCAGAAGCTCAGACTCGAGAGCACTACAACTGCACTGCTGGTTTGCAGGTGGTGCTTCAAATTTCTTACCCGCCAGATCTGCATGATCCGTGTCCCAGTCTGTTGCACTGGCTATGGGACGCCGAGTTGCACCCCGCCAAACATGGGCATGGCGGCATGAGAGCCTTCTTGGACCCCTTGAAGACTTCTCAACAAACCACTGGTTTCTGAGTGCAGCGTGACTGTCAGGGACTGGAAAATCACTGGGTTCCTAAGAGGGAAACTCCAATTCCATGCGACTTCTTTCAGAAATCTCTAAATGCTCCCACCGTGGTAGCACATGGGTCTCTTCCGCTGGCCTTTCTCGCCCACTGGGGTCTCATGACCCGATGCGACACTGCAAGACGACGACCTGAACACACCTGGTTGACCCAGCACAGTGAACAAAAAGTCAACCGATCCCATGAAAATCATGAACCCTTGGCTGCCATTCTCAGGCTTGTTTGCCATGACCCACCTAAGTCATGTCAAGCATCATCATTCATGCACAGGCATCCGCTGCAGTCGCACTGGTCCAGCGGTTCAGCATGGCACCTGGACCGACCACCCAGAAGTCCGACCAGCCGTGTGACCGGCGTGACCTGAAAAGGACACCGATATGCCATGCCAAACAAGAAAGTCTTTGATGACATCGCAGCGTCCGGCGGCCTGGCACATCCAGATTCTGACTTTACATGAGAGCCAGGCCCAGCCAGCTGCGGAAGGACCCTCTCTTGAGTTACAAGAAACGGACACCGAACGCCTCTTGTGAGCTGCTTCCTGCAAAATCCCGCAGAAAACCCTGCCAGGCTTGGGAGGTCTATCTCTTGGAGTCTTTGGAACCCCTCAGGCTTGAGGCTGCCAGTCGACGGGGCCCAAGTGGATCTACTGAGTTTGACAAACCTGCAGCCAGGTCACTGCATGTTGTAGAGGCCGGCCCAATAATCGCAGCTATGGCCATTGCAAGTCTTCTGGCAGGTCGGCAGATCCTTGTCACAAAAGAGGGTTGCGACCGCACAGGATACCACGGCAAGTGAGAGTTGGTAAAGGAAGGTCACTGAAGCCATGGGTTTGGATGGATTCTCTTAACTTCGTTCCTCCCAAGCCTCAAGCGGTGTATGACCTTCCAACCCTTGGTTTCATAATCATTGGTGACCTTCTGGCGGGTTAAAGAGGATATGTGTCCAACGAAGAATTGCGATATGAGATGATATGAGCCAAGAGTTCGGGGGTTTGAATGGAACTAGCCTGCGCCAAGTCATCCTCAGCTGCAAGCAAGGAACCAGGGTGCACTTGCTCCCAGAGCAGTCACACTGGTAGTAGTCCTGGTCGCGTGCTGGGCAGACCAAACGGAGAGATCGGTCGAGCAGGGTGGGCGATCGAACCATCAACAAGTTCAGTCAACAAATTCCTGCTTGTGAAACCCCTTCGAGTTCTTCCAAAGTCTCCAGCCTTTTGGGCTCTTAGGACATGCTGAGCCCTTTTAAGCTGTGAAAGTCATTCACTTGCGGCAACAGGGGATTGAATTGTCCGGGGCCAATGAGGATTGATGTCGCCAGGTGTGGGTAAACCCAACACATGCCAAATGTTCAACATACCGGCAAAGACTGCGACGGGTCATGCAACATCTCGCAGCTGTAGCCGCTGACCGCCCAGTAGTCGCAGTCGTGACCGTGGCCTAAGGAGGCTGTTGTGAGCACAGGACACAGCCACAAGCCGCTACAAGCATGAAGAGAATAAAAGAAGCCAAGTGATGTTGCAGGACACCAAGCACACTCCAATGTGGGTTTCATCAGGTCCAATTCAACCCAAGCACACTCAGTCTCAGTCCAAGCACTACACTCCAGTCTGAGCTCCCAGCACAAAGCCGGAGGACCCGCAGGGTTCGGGCCCGGTGCTGGGGTTGTTGTTAGGGACTCACCACCTCAGTGTGCGAAGTTTGGAGCTTCAGACACAAAGACCAATGGAGTAGGGACAGGTGGACATCCCATCCTATCTCTGAAAACCAATGGGCTTGAGATGGTTTGAGGCCATGCTCTTGGTCCAAACTATGACCACCATCATACCTGATCCAATGCAACTTACCTGCCCCGCGGTAGGTCAAAGCCAGGAGACCAAGACCGAGCGAAACGACCGAGTCGTTCGTAGCCATTGGTGGACGACCGGCGTTTGACCGACCATGGTTCGGGGCAGTCCAGCTTTTAACCTGCAGCCTGCAGCCATGTCTAAATGTCATGTCCATAACATGCTCGCTGGCCTTCTTTCCCACAGCTGGTGAAGGTATTCGGAACGGCCAAACAAGGGGTTCAAGCTGTGTTGCTAAGGAAAGAAAGCAATTGATGCATAAACATGCATAAACCGTGTCTCTCCGATTTGGTCCAAGCTTCTTCTGCCCGCTTGCAGTAGGTCTAATGGCACCTCGCGCGCCTTTGGCAGGTCCCATCTCCAGTCGAGGGCCTCAGCTTGGCACACCATCGAGAGAAGTCCCTCGCAAGGACTTTTGGAATGAGATACATGTTGATGCTCAAAAAGTAGGGGCCTGACCTACTTATATAGTTATATAGTCTAAAATGGTATTCAATGTATGGATCAACACGCAGGTGAAGTTCAGCTTACATGGCCGAAATCGGGACAATGTGCAAGACCTGGACTCGGGCACCTGACGTACCTGACGTGCCGCTATATACGTCTCAAAGACCTTAGCCTTGATGTTGGTCTGGTGAGTCTTGAAAGAGAATCCGTCCTCAAAACGTCAGCGCTTTGAAAGGAGTGATTTCTAAAAATAACAGCTGAAAAATCGGTGGATTTGGAAGACGTTTACAGGATGTTCCTGTGGAAGAGGTTCATTTTGGAGCCGACGACCTGAGGAACCCAGTTGATTTGCCCCACAATAATTAGCACAGAAGTTGTTTGCGCAGGCTGTTTGCGTCCAAGCTGATAAAAGAAGATATCAACGCTCCGAATCTCATCCACCAACCCAGGTCCGCACATAGCAACCAACAACTCTAAACATGTTGGGATGTGTTCAGCAGAGAAGGTTCTCCCCAACTCCCACCCATGATTTGATTGAAAAAGCAACTTTTTTCCAGCCTCAGACCCCCCACTCAGCGTACCAAGAGACCTTCGTGCGGATTTGTTTCTGGATGAGATCGCTCTCATCCTGGGTCGGACGTGATTCCAAAAAGAATTACCCAAGGCAGAATCGCAGAACAATGGTTAGACCGTTTGACCCGACCCCCTTCTTGGTGCCTTAGTTCCCGAAAGCACTTTAATTTGCCACAAAGAAAGAAACAAGCAAAGTATCTCCAAGACAGTGGTAGATTTGGCTTCTTTGACTCGTACACATTTCAACCGCACAAGAAAAAGAACCCCGCAGCAAACCTCAACTCCAGTAGATACCAATAGTACGGGTGTCTTCCAAACGCAAAGTTACCGTAGCCGAATCAAGTGCCCAAAGAAAGGGGACCCATCGCTTACCCATCGCTCCTTGAAGAGGCTCCAAGAGTCTCCAGCGACCAAACCATCCACAAATGGCTACAGCCAACACGACAGTCCGTCAAAACCGTCGACCCCGGTCGACCCCATTCGAACCCGGCGCAAGCTTTTTTGGCGCCGGGACACGGAATGGCATTCTTCGGAATACCTCGGGGAAACAAAAAGCATATGAGGAGCATTTCATGCGGTGCCAGGCCCCCACGCACCCAAAATAAAAGTGGAATGATTTCAATTTCTCAAAGTACTTTCGGTTCTTTGCATGTCTCAGAGATGATATCCACACACAGTATTGGTTGATGCTCAGCCTCAGCCTGAAGAGGAGGAAGTTGCTATTTGCAACCATTTTGGATGGAGTCGGATGGAGTGTCTTCTTGCAACATTGCATAGGGTTCAGGTCACCAGATCTGCGCTTTCCAAGGCACGCTGCTGCCAGAAGGCAAACGAAAACGGTTCGGTGCATTACCTCGCAGGAAAAAGGAGGTCGACAGATGTGAGGTCGCAGGGGCTACTGTAAGGGCTGTGGAGATCACAGATTTGAGTCATTTGGCGGTGGGTCATGGCACCAGGAAACCTTGGTTGACCTACCGGCGGTTCTTGCGACTGTCTGAACACGCACCCCACAGCCCTTCAGCTTCTGGAAGTTCAAGTTACATGGTTAACCATGGCTCCAGGTTTTTACCCATCCCCATCCCCATATTAGGTGCAAACCGTCTCAGTGCTTCCATGTCATGTCAATGACCCTCGCAGTGAACCAGACCGTCTCGGGGCTCGCTCAGGCGGTCAAGCTCGCCCCCCTGAGTGTCCGCACGAAAGAGATGGATCGAGCTCGAATGGAATGGGGATTCCAGTTTCGAGCTCGCAGCTGCAGAACGAAGATTCGAGAGTGTGTTCCTGCCAAATAGGTAGAAGTGGTTGCAATACATTCTCCAATATATTCTGGTATTTGTCTATTGTAGGGTCATAAGTGACAATACATACAAACCAGTGTTTTTCTTGGAATCTATCGCAATCACTTGAGACACACAAAGAACCCATATCGACGAGGGACAAAGAATCCTGCACCCACTCAGGCTGGTGAGTAACTAACATGCTCTAACACATGCCTGCAGAGGAAACGCTCCCAACTGAGAATCAATGCCTAACTTGAATGATACAGGTCGCAAGAGTCACACTAGGGTGGAGGCCATCTCAAGAGTCGCTGTCGCACCTTCCTCCCTCCTCGACCTCCCCGTCTTCCCTGTCGCTCACCCAGCCATCCCCTCGTGGCACCATCGCCCAGCAGCCAGAAAACCCCCCTACCCACGAAACGAAGCCAACCGAATCGACACCGCGGGCCCAACCTTTGGCAGGCCGACACTGCCGCACCTCCAGGCTGCAGGAGGCTCCAGCTGCTTTTGAGGAGGGTGGGGAGTCCATGCATCGATTGACTAAATTGACTCGAGAGAGCAAGCTGAATCGTTCAGGGCACCCCAAGGCCATAGGGGTGACTCATGATGAACAGCTTCTATTCCCTGGCATGATGCCCCCATCAAACAAACATGGAACACGGCAGGTATTTGATCCATACAGAAATCTCCAAGACAAACCCCTATGGCCCATGTCACTAAAGGAAAAAACTATCCAGGTCAGTCAGCGGGTTCTTCTGTCCGACCAACCAAACTCTCTGCAAGTCACAATGATCTATTGATCAGACACCAATAGAGCCAAAACGACCACATGGGTCAAACAAAAGGACGGTTGGTCAAAGAGAATCAATAGTTAAGTGGGTTGACCAAGACCAACACCCTTCCCAACTCTTCCGCTCCCCAGGCTGCTCCGCCTCACCTGCCCCTGGGCAGCTGCCGACCGGCGCAGGCATAGCAGCCAGCACAACTGGCGCATCCAGCTGGTGCAAAGCAGTGTTCCAAGCGCCAGCTGTGCAGGCGGCGAGATGGCTTTCTTCATCAAAATGACCAATTGGGCACTTGCATGGGTAGGGCTCTAAGATGTTTTCATCTAACCAAGTAGGGAGGCCCTGAAGGTTGGGTTTAAGCGGTCAAGGCACTTGTTGCCCAAGTAGTGAGGCCCTGCGCGGTGAAAAAAGTGGGTCTGTTGGGTTTGTCTCCGTTTGGAGGACCTATGCATGCTGAGTAAATCCCAAAAGAAAAGATACAATGGGGACAAATGCTGAGAGAAGGTGACAAATGATGCAATGGCGCTGATGCATGGCTCCATGTTGATGGTGTAGGGGATAGGGAGGTTCATGTTTTGCCAGTCCACAACAGTTTGATGGTTTGATGGAGATATATTTGGCGAACTAAGCTGCGCCTGTGCTGACTTAAGCGGAGTCCGTCGAATCATTTTAGGACTCATGGTGCGAGCCAGGGGAATACAGCAAGGTACTTGGCCTATTAGGGTTTGATCAAGTCTCAACTTCGGCCGAGAAGGGATGAAAAGAGGAAGGAATCATAAAGACCAAACGCGACATGTCTCTTGCACTTTGACCGTCTCCAACAGCACAATATACAAGTCTTCCCTTTATCAATTCGGCCAACTAACCTCCTACCCATACGCTACAACATAGAGAAATACACATCGTCATTGCGGTCCCAATTGTTCGCCGAGGCCCCTCCTGTGTCGCAAGAATCCAGTACAATGCTGTATGCAACGCCACCTCGGCCAAACTATGGCGTTTGCAGGGGGCATCAGGTCGTGCAATTTGTTTGTTTGATGTTCTCAGTGGTTCTTTTTCTTCCATGTGTTGGAACATGTGTATGACTTGGTGTCCCTATGCACCGTCTACCCATATAGAATTGCGAAAACTGCAGAATCCCACAAATCCCAGTGAAACATTAACATGACACACAAGGATGATATCCTGTATGTATACTGTATACCCTGATTTACAAAGACTGTGTACTACAAGTACAAGCCTGATGATCATCCACCTTCAACTACTGCCAGCCACCAGGCCCGTTTGGCCCGCTTTGGTCCAATAGGTCCTTCCACTTCCCACAGACTGAACGGGATCTCCTGGGCCCTCGGGCCGCTGGGACGTGTGCGCAGCAGTTGCAGGTGGCGCAGCAGCCGGAAGGCCAGTGGCCAACGTCGAGCCTGGTGAAGTGGAATAGGAGCCTCTACAAACCAGTGGTTTTCAGGGTCCGTGTTAGCCCTCAGCGCTAAGTGCCTTGCAATGCAACATAGCTGTTTGGCACCTGGAGAACCGATGAAAAGACGGGCGTTAAAACATTCGATATAGCTTGAATTTGGGTAAATCTGTGCGATTGAAAGGGAAGCTCATGGCATCCATGTTTTGAAGAACTACATCTTTTCGGTTATTCATGCTGGAGTGCTGACACCCAAGGCTCTACAAAGTCTTGAGGATAACCAAGTGATACTAAGTGAATCAGTTCTAAGCTGCTCACAAAAAAATGGCTGGCTGCTGGTTTCACTCAAGTCATTGAAGCGTACATGACTGCTCTACCGGGCTCTACCGCCTACCGCCCCAAAAAATGCAACTCGGACGCAAAAGGATTTGTATGGAAGTTGAAACCTTCGAACAAAAAGAAGGATTTATTTTGACCGTTTTGACCTTCAACTTGGAAAGAATCAAAAGGATCGGTTCAAAAGGGATGTCTCTTGACGTTGATTCTTTCCAAGTTGGTCCATTCAACGACCTCGACATCCATCGACTCCCTCGGCGAGGTCCCCGTTCGAGCCTTAGCGATGGCCCGCAGAATCGAGTGCAAAGCTGGCGGAACGGTCGCGGAGCTGGAGAAGTACATGTAGCAAGGATGCTATGCTCGGTGGAGGCCATCGCTAGTAACAAGAAGCTACGAACGTAACAAAATCATCATCCCAGCTTCCCCTACACCATACAGGGTACAGGATGTAGAGGGATGTCTTCTTGACATCCTGGGTGGTACGAGTACCTCCGCACCATCTGAAGTCACAACTACAAGTAACAGATCAATGCAGCGATATCTTGACATGCGGTCGGGAAATGGACTGGTGTTCACTCAACAAAGGCGTGTTCGGATTTACTATTCTCGCAAAAGCTTTGACGCCCAGAGCCACAAGACCCTCGCGACCGAGCCACATCCTACACAGTTGTTTACTTGTTTACCACACAAACTTGCAAAACAAAAGCATCAACAAATTACTATATATATATAATCCACACTAGAATCTAAAAAAGATCACACCTGGTCACCTGACACTTTGTTCTCTACATTACTTGACTCATTCCCTGCAGAACGACCTCACTCACCTGACATCCCACCGTGGATCCTGGACGCGCACCTGGTGGCGACACATCCTTCCACCAGGCATCCTGGAGCGCCATCTCCCAAGCTCCGGCCGTGGCCAAACCGCCGAGGAGCGCCGCAGCCTCTTCGCTGGGACCAATGCCTGGGACAGGTGTGTCTCCCCCAACTGGGTCCCTCCAAAAGACCATGACCCTTCGAGCCCCCCCCAGGCCGGAGGAGGCTCTATGAGGCTCTCATGCCTCCGAATCACTCCCAAAGACCTGCTATAAGGTTAGTGATGGTGAGCCAGTGCTGTTTACACACTACTGCTCCCAGAAATTCCTCAGTTCATACTCCTATAGAACAAGCCCTGTGGACGCTTAGCTCAGCCCCTACAGCCCCAGCGGATGCGCCTCGAGAGGAGGCACTTCGGAACTGCAAGGCGTGGCGCCAGCGCGAGGAGGAGCCCAGTGCCACGATGGCCTCGGGTTACGGGGCGTCGACCAAAGCGCCGCAACGACAAGTGGATGGTGAGAAACAGCAGCCGTAGGGCCGTAGGGGAGGAGACGCGCTCGGCGAAAATTCGGGATAATCCTCAAAGACTGATTAAGGCCTGAAACCCGTCGTGAAGAGGAATGCTGATTGAAACTCTGGACTCCAGACTCAGTTAGTTATTGACTACAAACAAAACTAACAGTACTGGCAGTCGTCTGAAGCCGCCAAGGCACCACTGGACGACTGGCCGCCTCCGATCCCAGAACACAAGCATCGGCCCACTGAGAAGCCTGGCAGCCACCGGAAGCTTTGAAAGAATCAAGCTGTCTTCCGCAAAGAACGCCCCAGCCTGCTCAAAGGCAACGGTGGCCATGCGTCTGCAAATGGCATTTGGTCGAACCTGTGCAAATTCGAAGTGGGTGGAAACGCTTGTGATTCGTCAGCACCTTCGACTATTGGGTCAAAAGCAAAACCTAAATAAACACTACAGTTACACACTACAGTACAGGTTTGATCCACTCTCCATAGTATCATCCAGAGTTGCAAAGAAACCGGAACTCTGGACAAGCAGGAGGAGACAGTGGGATATGTACCGCTTTCCCCTCAGTATCAGCTGTGCTGCATCAATGGAAAATAGGAACCCACTTCGGATTCAACTGGTGGACCCATGATTTCTTTGAAAAATGCAAAGAGACCCTGCCCCAACTCAACTCCACTCCCACGATCCCCCAACCAGGCGGGTCATCCCGTCTCCCGCCGTCGTCTCTTCCGCGCCCACCAGCAGCGAGGCCGCCGCTCGCCAGGTGACGCTTCTCCCACAGGCGGTCAAGGCAGAGCTGCAGGTGATCTCCTCAGGAAAAGCTAAGAAAAACAACGAAATATATATATATATAGGAAGATCCAAAAGACATGAGATATCCCACATTCCTGCTATTGGGTTTCCTAAACACCATAAAGCATAAACTTGATTGTCACATTTTGTGGCAAAGGAGTTTGATCCGAATCTCAAAGACCGGTCAAGCGGACAATTGGAACATCCAGATGTGACAGGTAAGTAGTAAGTACTCGGAGAATCTCGTGGAGCTGGTACTCCAACGTGAGAGATCTAGGAACATTCCTCTGTCCTGAACAAGTCAACGCACTTTTTCAGGGGTCCTCATCCTCATCTGTCAAAACCAACAAATGCTGCAATCGTTTTGTTGCCACTAGTTCCCTCAACAGCGTCACCAATGTCTGAAGCCCCAACTAGCTGAGTTCCTGTCATTGGGCCACAGCAACAGCTTCCGCATCTCCTGTGGGGGAGTGAAGTGCCAAATGCAGGGCTGGGCTCTAGTCTAAGGGGTGTCAACCTTCAATGAATGCCAACCTGCATCAGAATGTGGTCATCCGAGAGTGGCAAGGAAAAAACGATTTGGACAAGCACGCGTCCTCAAAAACACATTATATACAGTTTGATATGAGTACAGTAATTCGCCCAAAAAGCCCAGAAGCCGGCCCTCTCAGAACGCCATAAGGCGTTACCTCGACGCTACACCTTCAAGGTGCCCACTAGTACAAACACGTGGAGTCTTCGTACAAGGCAATGCCTGAGCCGCTTCTCCTCTCTTGCGGCTTCCCCTTCGCCAAGACGGCTTTGTGGGCCTCAGGTTTCCTGGTAGCCCACCTGGCCGCCTGCTGCCAAAAAGAAGCACGCTGCTTCGGGGGGATGCTCGAAGATCTTCGATCGCGAGCTTGCTGCATGGCATGATTCATAGGTGTGGACGATGCCACTCGACTCCCTTATTCAAACATGTGATGTTAAACCTGAGTAGTCAGTAAGATATACAGTATTCTTTTCCAAGAACTAAGACGTTCAAGCCGCGTCGGGCTGGAGTCTTGAAACATTCTCTGGGCCCCACTATTGAGCCCTTTTCTTTACATAGACTGCCGGGCGCTCATTCTGCGACATGCTTCCTGCACCTGCTCCTCTTTAATAGCAAACTTCTCTCCAAGTGACTCTGCTATGATGCAACTCAGCTCATGCTCCCCTGGCGGGCCATTCATTTTCTCGCCTGGGTCAACTTCTCTCTTGATCTTGTTACAGCCCCATGGAATGGGTTTCTGTCGTTGGGGTGTCCAACCAACACACACAACCATCTCTTGCATGATGCCCCAAAACTCTTTGCAGTACTTCTCAACGTCTACGTCTGTTCCATCATCAAAACCAAAAGGCTCCATCATTTTGTCACTTGCCACCTTCAATGAGAAAAAGGCCACCGCCAGCGTGATGGCCGCAGGAAAGCACCAAACACCCAGCGAAGCTGCCAGTGGAAATGGGAGTGTGCAGCAAAAAATGTAAAGAAACAAGGACATGAGCCCATGGAATAGAGCGGGCTCACCTGCATGGGCAAGGATGTGTGCCTCTTTCCATTGCTCAAGAAAATTGTCAAGGCATTCCAGGGCTTTGTTCGCTGCACTGTCAGGATCCATCCACTTCTTGTCTGCAGCACAATCAAGAATCATCCTGACCCACTCAAAAGACATGTAAACCCGCGCCATCCCAGTGGTGCTGGCAATTGCACTGGCTTGTTCGGGGACAAAACCATCCAATAGTCCAAGCGTCTTGTCGGTTTCTTTGCTAGTAAGGCGGCGCCCTTTCAAGGACCCAGTCTGCAAATCTCGGCTTGCCACAAGCAACAGCAAGTGCAAAGATCTTGCTAGCTCCCAATGCACTTTTGCAGCTCGTGTAACCTTAGTGTTCTTGAGGTTACTGAAAGAATGCAGGGCGGCTTCTTGCAGGCTTGCACACATTTTCTGAAAAGTTGCATCTGCAGTGACATATCGGTCAGCTGCCTCCTGAGCCTGGAAAGCCAGAAGGAACCCAAGCACCAGGGCAAGCATCTCATGGGTCTCACTGCCAAGGTCAATTGAGGGCTTTGAGAGCACCGCAGACCATTCGCCTTGACTCCGCTGACTAATGTCATACTCTTCGTCACTCAAGCCTTCAGAGTCGACAACATGAATTGCCACAACGCAGCAGCCTGTCACAAGAAGGCATGGCCACAACACTTGCAAGCTGCACAACAGCCTTCCAACTTTCCAATAATAATCGAAGGTATGCCCAAGCCAACTCTTCAATAGAGAACAAGCATCCTGATCCTCCTCGAGCAATGATGTGTGTGCCCGGCTCTTTCTCGGAAGGTAAGGAGCTTCTTCCTGCTCTGCTATGTTGAGGCAAGCACTTCGGACCTTCTCCTCTCTTTTGGAGAAACCCTCTGTGTAGTTTGTGGCTAGCCATTTCATCGCATTATGGTACTTGTATGGTGCTTCTTGCAAAGCTGTTCTTGCTTGCTCTTCTAGCTTTGCTCTCATTCGTTCCCTTTTTTTATATCTTCACGATTCAAGGAAACACGACGCGCTATCTGTGCAGGGTCCTGAAACATGATACGAGCGTCTCTTGAGCACATCACGTATATCACATGATAAGCAATGGCCAAGTCCGCAAGAAAGGCATAGTCTTTGAACTCTTCTACGTCCCCTGTCTCGTCGTTGCAGTTCTCCTGGTCCTTGTCCTTTCCGATGTCATCGGAGCCGTCTGAGGCTTCCGGCGTGCCCAAAGCCACAGGCGTCAAGTGATCGTTGCCAGTGTCACTACCAATTGCACTCTTGGACTCTGACCTGAGACTCCATGCCCCTGTCACTGCTGTCAATGAGTCTGGGTCCACCCTCTCGGACTTCTTCTTCTTCCTCTTCAAATATTTCTTAGGAGCCATTGGCCCAAAATGGCCGCCAGCATCACAACACACTGATACCTTGAACCAACAACACTGCTTTGGAGAAATTCAACTTGGTCTCAACATGTTCGCCACAGAATGAGGTCAGGAGACACCTGCGGCAGGGTCACTTGTGGACCCAAACGTGGAAGGCTCCGGGGACATCGCTCCTCCCACAGCTGCAAGCCCATGGCCCAGTCGATGGCCGCAACAGCCGCTGAGTGGCGCAACACACTTGCAGAGAGCCTGGCTTCCAGAGACACACCCGCGAATTTCCACTGCGGGGTGGCGGGGTGAAGGAGGAGCCGGTTTAGCTGGATTTACCAGTCTCAACACAATTCAACACATGAAATGTTACATATCTAAACTGCAACCAGCTGCATTGACTGCAAACCCACGACTTGCGAACTCAACAGACATTCCACGCTACCCACAAAGGTCCAGAACATTCATCCTCAATAAGAAAACGCTTGCCGCGTGATGGCAAGGTGTCTTCTCTGCGGAGGTCCTCACAGCCGATCTGCAAATCCCTGGCAGGCCGTAAAGGTGTGCCTCAAAATACAGGGATCTTAGAAAGGACCCTGGCAAAAGCGCAATGAAAAAAAACAAATAAGTAAAAAGCAGTGGATCTTACGTATTCACTTCTGTCTTAAACATCTTACACCTTACAGCCTTGGCTCACGTGCTCCTTGGGGTGCTCCGCCCGAACAGATCTGCCTTCGGACAGCTCCACCCAGCAGCACTTGCAGGCTCCTCCGCCAGCTCTTCGCCTCCGTCCATGGGAGCCGCTCGGAGTCGTTTGGGGCTTGCAGGATCATTGTGACGGGTCGCCCATCCCAGCCCAAACCTGATGCTCAAGCCCCATCAACCAAGCTGACATTCATAGGAGCCACATCAGCCAAGAAGGACGGCCTCGCTAAAGCAAACCGATTCAGCCTGCTTTCAGCCACCGGTGTCCAGTCCTTGCACTCTCATTGGACCGGAATCCATCACCTGAAAACCATCCGGCGCAGTCCCGACCGCGACGGTGTTGGACCCTCTCATCCTCCCAGTGACCTGCTCGCAGGGTGACACCACCGTGTTGACAACGACATCACCTGCGTCTGGGTCAAGGACCCTGTACAGAAGCTAACCACACCAAATGGGAGAAGATTACATTGAAGCCCAGTCGGTTGGGAGGTAATGATGTTGGTAGTGCTGATCAGGATGGTGATGGATTCTGATGCTAGGGGATTTGTGTTGATCTTCTTGTAGTGCTCGTGATTTGCAGGATTCGCATGTTCGATCAAATTCGCATGATATATGCGAATTATATATATATATATGTGAACATAACGTAAGTGTGAGAGCTTCCATTTCTTAGCTCAGGAATCACCATGTGTTCCCACAAGTGACACCACCTTCACCAACCAGTTCAACCGGTCCTCCATCCACTTCCAGCAACTGCAAGGCCATCCGCCACTTCTCCTGCAGTGTCAACGGTTGGCGAACAAGATATCTGAAACACCAGCTGGGAACCATAAGAACTAAGTCTAAGGGAATTGAACCCAAAATAAGAGAAACGCGAACAGGAGGCGAGAAGCGTCTGAAAAAGAATAATGTCAACCTAGGATTAGGGAACCCCCCCTATTAGTCTACCCAGCGTTCAGGCCCCTATAATAAACTAATTTGAACTATGAATTTCCACAGTCACCACCCTCTAATAAAAAATTTGTTTGGCTGAAACCCCCCCCTATTAGTCTACCCCCTGTCCCCCCAGGAAAAATACAATTATTCAAATATACATGGGTGTTTAATTAGTTTTGTTCTTTTTGCCTTTTCAATATTTTCTTGTCTTACCATGGTGAAACTGATCTTCTGATTGATTACCAATGCTCTCCCAAAGCAACAGCTTTCCTAGAATTTCCAAAAACTCTCTAGGAAAATTCTTTAATTTTCCCTTATTAAAACTCTATCAAAATCTGCAATTTGAGAAGCTCAGAAAGGGTACCCCCCATACACCCCCTACCCCCCTCTAATAGTGGGGTACCCCCCCCTATTAGTCAACCCCATCCATGATGAGCTCTCATGGACCTCATGATGAAAGGGAATTAGTATTTGGGCTCTCATGGATCTCATCATTCCACCCCAGCTCTTCCAAATACTAATTCCCTTTCATTCCAATTCTTCCAAATACTAATTCCCTTTCATCCCAACCCTTCCAAATACTAATTCCCTTTCATTCCAATTCTTCCAAATACTAATTCCCTTTCATTCCAATTCTTCCAATTACTAATTCCCTTTCATCTCAATTCTTCCAAATACTAATTCCCTTTCATTCCAATTCTTCCAAATCAAATTCCCTTTCATCATCTCAGAAATCAAATTTGTGCCAATAAGCTCTCATGGATCTCATGATGAAAGGGAATTAGTATTTGGGCTCTCATGGATCTCATCATTCCATCCCATCTCATCTCCTCCTCCTGTCATCATCAGGTCATCCCCACTATTAGGGGGATGTGATCTCCAAAACCTCCAATCTCAGACCTTGTTGACCTTGTTGACCTTCTAGGGGGGGGGGGGGCCGTTGATTAATCCGACGTCGACATTA